TCACAGCGATGCCATAGAAGAACCATTTTTGGTTCCACAAAGAACCACTCAGTCAAAGGTTCTTTAAAGAACCATCTCTTTCTTACCTTTTTGTAATCTGAAGAACCTTCTTTCGCCTCAAAGAACCTTTTGTGAAACAGAAAGGTTCTTCAGATGTTAAAGTTTCTTTATGGAACCATTTAGACAAAAAGGTTCTTGTATGGCATCGTGAAGCACCTTTATTTTTAAGAGTGTAGTGTCATAAACTATTTAGTGTCAACTACCCAAATACAGAGCAGCCAATGACCTCTAGGATAATGCACAGAGGAGCCCATGAGTGTCTGCACACTCCACAATCTGCTGATTTCTCAGGAACTAACAAACAAGTATCCAAACACTTACAGGTACAGACACGCACACACACAGAGAGGCATAAATCAGCGGCTGAAACGGACAGTGCCGCGCAAATGAACAGAATCATCTGAATCCTGTCCGGTTCCCATGGTAACGCAGAATGCCGCAGAGTACCTGTCTTTACCTACAGCAGATAGATTCAAGTACGGAAATGAATAAAACACTAGATTACGGCTCTAACACACTAATCGACACTCTCGCTGTGCTGATGAGATTCCAAAAGTATTCCACACTAAAGGCATCAAGCTTTTACAAAGCATTAAACATCCTGAAGCTCGCTGATTAAAGTGTTTCAGGGCTTTTTTAGTGGCTCTTTGCAAATAATGCATGCTCTCACTTCACAATGCAATCAAACACTCTTGATTTAACAAATAATTAGGATCATCTATCCATCCACCCATCCAAAAATAAGCTTGAGGTCCTGTTCTTCATTGCTTTCTGCTTCTATCCTATTAACAAAGACAAAAAAGACAAAAACTAAAATAATAAATATAAATAATAATGAATAAATAAATACATATGTAATAAAATAATTATAATAAAAACAATAGAATACAATAGAATACAATTAAACAATTGGATCTAAAGGCTTAAAACCACTGGTAAAAAAAAATAACTTCTGTAATTTGTAATACTTTTCATTACAAATTGTAATATATAAGGAGTGGAGAAATTGTTTTGGGACCAAATAAATAAATAAAGCATGAGAGACTAATTTGAGTTCAAAATAAAATTAAAGAGTATAAGCATTTATCTGTCAGGAACGATAGACTCTATGGATTGTTTTTAGCATCTCTGTCCCATCAGTGTGATTTTACAGCTGTGATGACTATGATTATCAGGACTATGATTTATAAATGCAGTTATAGCAAGACTGTCTGATCTGAGTCCAGGGGGGTTGAGAGTTAAATAAATGAAAGAATTAGAGAACCATAACCATATGAACCACAGCCAAGTTCTAGAAATAGCAGGCTTTAAAAGTTTGACAAAGTTTTTGTCTTTACTTTTTAATAAACCACCATCTAAAACGCAATGACCCGGTAATATACGTCAATTTAAGACAAGCGGCGTATCAGCCTTCAGAGCAGATTCATTTAGTTCAAACAGCACTGTGGAGTTTTTAACCGCAGAAGAACTACAGCAGCTCTCAGCAGATCATGAGAGTATCTGGACTGGTGCAGAAAGTGCCGTCAGACGTTCTGAAGCTCAGATGGGGTTTTAATCAAGTGTCCTGCAGTTTTCACATCTCTGATAAATGCATGAGAGAGGGACTTCTGATAGGTCCATTAAAGCATTAAAGAGCGCTGACCGCATTTAATAGCTAAATAAATGCCGCTGGTGATGGGAAAGAATTTTAATGGCTCTTCTGCTGCTCTTGTGTGTTTGAACGTCTCTGATATTACTGTATGTGTGTGTGCAGGGTTCAGAAATAACACTCAATAAAAACCAAATGCAAGTAAAAACTGGCTTTAACCTTTATATAAACTGAATCATAATGCATGGTTTAAATTGTGTTTAGTAACAAGTTTTGCTTAAAAAAAATTAAATAAATCCATGTCAATCCTACCTGTACATTTGAGATGCAAAATTGAATCTGTTTGTAATGGGTGGCCATCTAGTATACAATGCTGTGAGTCACAGCAACCTGCAATGTGTGTCAAAAATATAGCTATTAGGGAAGATCTGATAAATAATTACTTTACAAATATATATTTTTTAAATGTTTCGTTTATATATGCAGTTGGATCTAAAGGCCTAAAACCACTGGTAAAAATGCCTTTTTTTCAATTTTGTAATACTAGCCATTATAAATTATAATATTTATGGAGTGGAAAAATAGTTTTAAGGCAAAATAACTAACTAAATAAAACATAAAGAGTGAGAATCAAATTTGAGTAAAAAAGTTGAATAAAACAAAATAAAAATTATAATATATATAGTATGGAGTGGAGAAATTGTTTTGGGCAAATAAATAAATACAAATAAAGAGAGAGACCAATTTGAGTGAAAAGTGGAATGAATGAATATGAATGAATGAATGAATAAATAAATAAATAAATAAAATAAACAAACAATGAATGAAAAAAACAAAAAAATAAAAATACAGAGAGAGACCAATTTGAGTGAAAAGTGGAATGAATGAATATGAATGAATGAATGAATAAATAAATAAAATAAACAAACAAACAAATAAAAAAACAAAAAAATAAAAATACAGAGAGAGACCAATTTGAGTGAAAAGTGGAATGAATGAATATGAATGAATGAATGAATGAATAAATAAAATAAACAAACAAACAAACAAATAAATAAATAAATAATAGGGAGGGAGATAAGTAGAACTCTAGAAATGAAATAACAATAAATAAAATAAACAAAGCTGAAAAAAACATAAAATATTATAGTGTCTTAGTATTTTGTTTGTCTGCTTTTGCTATCATGAACAACAAATTATTTGAGAATAATCCAAAGAGCATGAACATCCTAAAACTTTCTATTAATTTTCAGATTTAAATTTAATTTTGAAACAAAGACATCCAATGTGGACTACATATACAGTGGTGTGAAAAAGTGTTGGCCCCCATCCTGGTTTTTAAAATTTTTGCATATTTGTCACACTTAAAAGATTCAGATCATCAAACAAATTTTAATATTACACAAAGATAATGCAAGTAAATACAAAATGCAGCTTTTAAATGATGATTTATTTTAATAAGGAAAATACTGGCCATTAAGACATTTTTATGGCTGATAAATTCTCTCAATTTATCCACTATTGGCAGGTGAAACAAAACATTAAATCACACTAATGACAGATAAATAAGGCACTAGTGCTCTGACAGCCTCTTGTACGCAAGCGTAACACTGATAAAGGCAGAAGAGACGATCACCGTGCGATATGAAACATGTTTCATGTCACGGTCTGGTCATCTCAGATGAGTCCTCCAACATTTATGAGCTCATAAATATGCATTAATGTTATGCAGGTCTGCAGGCTTGAATAAACATGATCGTGTGATGTGTTATGAATGGCTGCTGACCCCCAGACAACGAGAAGGAAAGTGAAGAGGCACGGCTGCAGATCCAGAAGCAGAGAGGGTGCTTACAGATAAATATAGACACAAGTCTGAGCTTTGATCTCTGAGTGCCATCGACAGACAGACAGAGAAAGAGCGGGTTACATCACACATACTGTCACAGATGATCCAGGCCAAGACATGCCGCTCCAACTCGCAGATAAATATAGACACAAGTCTGAGCTTTGATCTCTGAGTGCCATCGACAGACAGACAGACAGACAGAGAAAGAGCGGGTTACATCACACATACTGTCACAGATGATCCAGGCCAAGACATGCCGCTCCAACTCTCAGACAACTCCCATGACTCTTTGCAGAGAATCCACACAGTGATCTCACACACACACTTTTCACTTTTCAATCTAACTCAGTTTTAACATAAGAGAAGGGGCTGGAGACATTGGCTCTGCATCTGCCTCTGTTCTCGTACCAAGAACCAGTATTGTAGAGTTTTTAAAACCGCTCAAACTGCAAAACATGGCGATAAAAACTTTACAGATGACATTATAACCTCTCTACCTTAATAGCACACAATATAGCAAATTTGCACTTTTGTACTTGTTAAAAACCATTCACTGTTTACCTTTAAAAAAAAGAAGAAGAAGAAGCTATGTTGTGTGATATATACACCGCTGTTCAAATATTTGAGATCAGTAAGATTTTTTATGTTTTTAATGGAGTTTCTTATGCTCATCCAAGGCTGTATTTATTTGATCAAAAATACAGAAAAAACAGCAATATTGTGAAATATTGTTGCAATTTCTAAGTTTGGTTTCCTATTTTAATTTACTTTAAAATATCATTTATTTCTGTGACGCAGAACAGAAATTACTCCCGTCTTCAGGGTCATGTGATCCTTCAGAAATCATTCTAAACTGTTGTGCTGCTTTGTTTTTTTGGAACCTGATACTTTTTTCTTTGATTCTTTGATGAATAAAAAGTTCAAAAGAACAGCACTTATTCAACACAGAAATCTTTACTATCACTTATTATCCATTGAACACATCCTTGCTGAATAAAAGTATTAATTTCTTTTTTTTTTTTTTTAAAGAAAGGAAAAATGTACTAACCCCAAACTTTTGAATAGTAGTGTATAATGTAACACAACATTTCTATTTTGAATAAACACTGTTCTTTTTAACTTTTTATTTATCAAAGAATCTGGAAAAAAAATATCACAGGTCTCAAAAAATATTCACATATATGGCTTTAAAAAATCTAATCAAAAAAAGAATAAGCATTTTTCGAGAAACATTTTGAAAATCACTTTAAAAAGCAGCTCTAACAAAAACCGTAAAACGTCCATCTAATGCATGCCTACATAGACCACCAGTTATAAAACAGCACAAAGAACACAAAAACCTTGTCCTGCACGAACGACCTCCAACACACACGGTGATGGATATTTTTTCCTCGATTACAAATGCAAATCAGAAACATGAACAGAGACCAGTCCTACATCGAGTGTGAATATATTTGAATATTTGTATTCATGAAGCCAGGGACGGAGAGAGGAGAGTGTTCTTACCCCACTGTAGAGGAGCCAACTGCAGATGTTCTAGTATGAGCTGGTTGAGGACGCCCTCCACGCTGGCCTCCCCGTGACGCCGAAGGGACGAGTGCGCATTTGGTCAAGGAAAACGTGGCCTATCGCTATCACCCAATACTGCTATACTGGAAACGGATGCATATTTGATCAGAACGTCCTATGATTCGCTTTATCATCTTTTTCCTGGAAGCGTTCAGAACAATAATGCCACTCTGTGTTTTCTGCGTTAAATTAGACACGCAGCGTGCATGGAGACGATGAGCGTGTAGAAGGAGGTGAAATATTTGCACACAGCGACACTAATAACAGCGTTGAGAACAAAAGCTCATTACGTAACAGCAGTGATGCTGTCAGAAGCCTCTAATGACTGTGAGCTGTGTAACGATGCTGAGCACTGCGCTGACTCTGAGAGATGGCCTTCTTCTCAACTGAACCATGTAAGTGTACGCTGGGATCTGGAAGAGAGGAAGAGATTCCTACTGCCAGATATGGACAGCAATAATAATAAAAAACGATTTGACTTTAAAGGAATAGTTGACCAAAAACGAAAATTTACTCACCCTTTGGCTATTCAAGGAGTGCATGATTTTGTTTTTTCATAAGTACAGATTTAGAGAAATATAGCATTGCATCACTTGCTCTCCAATGGATCCTCTGCAGTGAATGGGTGCCGTCAGAATGCAAACAGCTGATAAAAACATCACAATAATCCACAAGTAATCCAGCTGACTCTAGTCCATCAGTTAATGCCTTGTGAAGCGAAAAATTGCCATGTTTTTAAGAAAAAAATCCATCATAATCCATAAAATCGCTTTCTCCAGTCATCTCATTTGAATCAGGAGAGAAATATGCACAGATCAAGCCTTATTGTGGATTGGGAACTGGTATTTTAGCCTTAAAGCCGTTAATAAATAAGGATGTTAATTGATGGACTGTAGTCATGTGGATTATCGTGAATTTTTTATTGGCATTTTTTTTGCCTTTATTATAATAGGACAGATCAGAGCTGACAGGAAGCGAAGTGGGAGCGAGAGAGGGGGGCAGGATCAGGAAAGGTCCTCGAGTCAGGAATCGAACACTGTATGTCGGTACGCCGCCCACAAGGCTATCGACATTGACAATTTATCGTGATGTTTTTATCAGCTGTTTGGACTCTCATTCTGACGGCACCCATTCACTGCAGAAGCTCCATTGGATGCAATGCTACATTTTTGTTCAGATGAAGGAACAAACACATCTACATCTTGGATGGCCTAAGGGAGACAAATAAAAGGATTCACATGACACGAACACTAGTAAGTGACCTAGCGTTTCAGTAATTATTGACAGACTATGACGGTTATGAAGACTATGCAGAGACATCTCTCTATATAATATATCCGATGTGGTCACACACAGATATATTTGTGTTTATGGTTGGTTGACTGGAATGATGGCATCTCTGACCTGCCGCATATCATTTCTCTTCATATCATTGTGACTTTACCTGTCCAAGAACGCCTATGTTTCTGCACATCCAATCAGTCATGCTGATGCCATGCACATCACCGCTCGGGACTGTATCTCTTGATTATTTATTATTTAAGGGAGACGTTCAGAGCTCGTGTCAGGGTGTCAGCCTCCTGAAATAAACGGGAGATGATGAATGCCACTGGATGATGCGTAAGAAACCTGAGCGTCTGATTGGCTGCTGGGATTTTGGCAGTTTGGTGGATAGAAGATGCGCTTGGTGAGTAACCGTGCTGCTCTATTTAGAGAATGTAAAAACACTCACACAAAAGCCATTTTCATAGCTACACCATAGATTTCTAAAGATTTTAACAAAGCAAATTAGAATTACTAAAGGCGAATCTGAGCCCTAAACTACATGTAAAAATATGATTTACATAACATAATTTTTTTTTCAGTTGAGGACATCTTCATATGTGCCCAAAGGGAGGTTCTGTCAGATTCACTTCTATCGACAAGAGACTGATTCGCAAGCACGACTGGAGCAGGACGTTTCTAAGTGGTAAGTGTGAAGTGTTAACAAGTTTGTGGTAATTTCTTGTAAAATGTGATGGAACAAATTTACTCTCACAGTGTAGGATACAGCGTCTTCTTGACATGATGTTAACCACACGGAAATGTTACTGTTTGTGGGCGGGCAAGTTGGCGACGTAGAACGTGCAAGGCATTTTGCTGCAGTTGGAAAGTGTCACTGACTGTCTGCTCAGAGAGGAGAGCGAGAGAGAGAGGGTTATATTTAGCTCACATGTGTGTTCTCTCCTGCGACTCCAGCAGCAGAAACACTGAGCTATTTATAGACCGCCTCCCCGTAACCTGCGGTTACCGGCACACACAGCAGCATCACTGCGCCACGGCAACGCCGCATCACCCCACCCAGCATCTCAACATCACATTAACTCACTGTGTCATTCAATTGAAATTATAATTTTATACATTCAAAATGACACAATCCCTCAGATGAGTCCACAGAAAAGATGACAGGTTATTAAATCCAATCTCACAAATTCAAGATGATGCATGTGTGTGTAATTTTTTCTTCATTTTTATAGTGATGTGCTAATAAGCATAACATTTTTATTTTTAATTGTGATAATATAACTCTATTTCTTCTTTCTTTTGTATTTAATTTATTATTAAAATGATCATTTAAAAAATATTTTTTTATTTAGTTTAAATATAGCTATAAATATCCAGAAGTAGACTCTGTTGAGCCAGCTATTTATTTATTCATTCTTTTATCCATTCATTCATTAATATATTATAGTTTTATATAATATTATACGCAAATACTCAACATTTTTGTCTCTTGTTTTGTCTGCTCTCTTGAATTTTTTTTTCACTGAGCTTGCTGCACATTTTGGAATGACAATCTCTGTGACGAATTCATGCAATGCTGACTTAGCAATGGCCTAAACGAGGTTTCTTAGTAGGCAGCATAATTGTACTCACTTTGCTGTCTGTTGGAGTTGTTGGTAACACTTTACTTGAAGGGGTGTGCATAAGACTGACATGACACCTTCATAATCATGTCATGACTAATGACATGAAAATGAAGGAGGTTTTATGCATGTTTATGACAACTGTCATTAAGTGTCATTCGCTCAGTTATGT